GTAATTGGATGGTTGTTTGTGTTGTATGTAAATACTCACAAAATGTCCATAGTAATTCATTTATTGATTACTTGTGATTCTGTCTCTTCTTCACAACAAGTGTGTTATGTCTTGAAGAAGTTTGTCCTGGTGATGATGATGAGTTAATAGCCCCAAGCGATAGTCTCCTAGTAGGCGCTGGAATAAGCGAAGGTATCATACTCCTGACAACATTCCACCAAAAATATTAGTAGCAAAAGAAGAAGATTGAAAAACATTTAGAAAAATGTAAAAAAAACTCACTTGGTTTTTGTTTGATTCTTCTTTAGCTTAGTTGAGGCAGCTACTCTAGGCATATTCACTTGAACATTCAACTGCCACATCAAGTTACTACTCTCCGAGCAATCGCTTGTCGCGGTTCCATCAGACTCGTTCGCTTCTTCTTCGTATGAGATCTTCCTCACCTCGAAACCTTTACCTACATTGCACTTACTATTGTCTACACCTCGTGATGGCTCACGTTTCAAGCTAGCCAATCTCTTCTCAAGTTGTGTATGTGATTTGTTTTCAGGTTTACTTTTACGCGTGACTTCATCCTCGTGTTTGTCAACCCATTCACTACCTGATATAAATTTCATTTCCTCCTCTTTTTCATATATCGACTGGCTTTTCCATGAGGGTGAACTCACTAGTCCTTGTAAGTCAATGCTGGATGCAGAGTCACTTCGACCCTGCAAGTAATTTCACTGTTACATTATGAAGTAATCACCGCAAAGAAAAGTATCCGCACGGGAGTTTAATTTATGAGTTTTTATTGTTCCCTTTACCTCTATGCTGTTGACATCATCAATTTGTGATGATGGTTTATGTTTTGCTTGGTACTGTCTTGTGTTTGCTGATTTAGAAAAAGAAGAAGAAAGGCCAAGTGATTTTTTTCGGACGAGTTTATCGGGTGTAAGGGGTCTTGGGAGCTGCGTTTGATCTGCCTCGCTCTCTTTTCTCGCTAGAGCAGCTTTCAAATTAGCAACCTGAAATCAAAGATAACAGATTTGGACAATTCATATTCAGAGAATGAAGAGAAAACAATGTGAAAATGTATTGAAGTGGAGAAAAATGACCTGTTCTTTGAGTTCTTTAACCTCAGAAGTGTCTTTGTTGACACGAGCAGCACCGAGTTCAACAGTGGCCACTCTCTCTGCAAATTTCAAGGTGCTAAGTGTTTCTCCCAGAGCTTCTACTTCAGGGCTAATGTGAATAAACATTAGCGTTTTTGCTTGTCCTCCTACACAAATCCATTGTTTTAACACAAAATTATATCATTGAACTATTAGTCTAACACTTGGATATTGTTGGTTACCTAAAGCGTCTTGGAGCAGTTGTGTGAGTTTGCTATTGCGATAAGGGATGTGGTTGTTTTTCTGAGAGAGAGATGCAATCACATCTCCAAGGGCAGAAAGAGACTTGTTGATGTGTTGTGCTTCTTTCAATCTATCACCAGTGACCTCAGATTTGTCGATCCTTTCGCTTCCAGCAAGATCAACCAAATGCATTGAACCCCTTAGAATTGCACCTGAGGTCAGATCTTTTCCTTGGACGTGTACTGTGAGACAACTACAGTTATAAAGTATAAACATGTAAGATTAATGATAGTTATAAAAGTGACTATTGTAAATAAGAACTCAAATTATTGAGTGAGCCTTGCAATCGGTACAACTTGATTTAATATATGGTGATTGTTGACAAAAAAATTATTGTTTATAAGTGACCATAATCTTGATCTCTCTTATGCTCTATGTTTCTTGTTTCTCTTTTTCACAATTTTATACAAAGGTCAAACAAAAAAAAAAGACCTGTGAGAGCGACTGCTACGGTCATTCATGGCTGTGGCACTGACTGCACGGTTCTTTTGACCTAGATTCATCAAAAAAATGACGTCTGAAGTTGTGGAGACTGGAACCAATGTCGCCTCTGGCACGTTGATTCCATCTTGTGAACTGTTTCGAATCTCTAATGTGTTCAAAAGTTAAAGAAAGTAGACATAATGATCATATGCAAAAAAGATTAAGCATTCTAAAGAACACAGAACATGAGAATATATTCAAAGTTTCATTTCAAAAAAAAAAAGGAATATATGCAAAGACACAAGGCTTAGAAAAGGATATCGGCTAGTTTGGGCATTAGTGGCAAGGAGATCTCGGACTTGCTCGTTGTAAATCTCAAGCATTTGAACTGAAATGTTATATGAAAACGTTTCTTTTCTCACACTTGACAGATGAAAGAGATCACTCAATGCTCTGTAGTTTACTCCTAAGCTTTCTTCTGTTAGCTCATTAGGTCCCATCTAGTTATTTCATAAGAAAAGTAGAAATGAGGATCCATATTATTCATATGAAAATATAAAACTTCATTACAAATTAAGTTGAATTTATTCAAGAAAAGTACCATGGTGAAAGTTTTCCCGGATCCTGTTTGGCCGTATGCAAATATGCAAACATTATAACCATCAAGAACAGATCGGATTAGAGGTTGAGTGTCTGTAAACACCGCCTCTACAAAATAAAAAAATTGTAAGACATTAATTTTCTATGAGAATCAACCAACATATATAACTAAAATCTAGTAACTATTCAAGTTAATATCACATAGATGCATCATGATCATAGTATCTACACAAAATTAAGATGCATTTCCAAGCTAACAGCTTTTCTTGATGATCCACATGAAAAATTTGTATGATATTTTTTTTTTTCACTTTTTGTTTCTACATTGAGAAAAAAAAAGGAAAGAAGGATAAAATTACCTTGAGATGCTGAAGGGCCAAACACTTTGTTGAAGGTGAATGATTTTCGACAGTCTTTTCCATATTTTGAAGGAGTTGCAATTGCTATACTTGAATCCTCTATGTGATCCACAGTAGTTAAGTCACCTGTTTGCCCAGGTAAGAATGGTCTTACTCGACAATAAACCCTTATGTTCCCTGTTATACATTCGTTAAACTTGATATTACAAATCCTAGTAAATAGTAACTGAATTTACTAGTCAAGAAGAACATGACTTTAGCTCTATAAGAATCGTCAAAATTTGTATAAGGAGTTAGCTATATTGTTAACTATTAGTATATATTTTACCTTTGAGGTCTTGGACTTGATTGTAAAGTTTTCGATTTTCTTCAAGAACTCTTTGGTATCCTGAAGCTGCATTGGCAAGTCCATGCAAATGTTCACCTAGCCCAAGAAGAACAATCTTTCAGTTAGTTTCTTTAATAGCGATTTTCTATCTACTAGTCCAAAATTTGTTACTAGGTAGATTCTCACCTAAGCTTGCAAATTCTTGTTGGTATTTCATCTGCAAGAGACTTAGTCCTGTCTTTATAGTCTTTAGATCGTGTTTCAGTTCCTGCCAACACACATATATATATACACTGTCTTACTAATCACCAAATACAAAGTCTTAAGAAGAGACAATATGCCACATATATATAAATATACCTCAGTATGATTTTGTTGTATGTTGATTATCATTTGTTGTTTTTCGATCTTCTCTTTTGAAATTCCATAGAGCTCACAATCTTTGACATTGTCATCTTGTGAAGCTTCCATGTTGACAATCTCTATCACATTTTCTTCTCCATTCTAAAAAAACATGTAATTTATAAACTAGTTCCACATATAATACACTGATAGACCAACATATCCATAAAGGATACTATGCCTAAATGGATAACAAACAAGATCACCAATTTCAAGTTTGGTGCAATTAATAAAGACTGTATATTCATAACATACCGAAGCATCCCTTAGCGTCTCTTCATTGCCTGAAATAATTCTCCCAAGATCGTCAGAGTCATTGCCTGAAATAGTTCTCCCAAGTTGGCTTTGTGTGGCCAATCTACGTTCATATTCTACCATGACACTTTTCAACATATCTTCCACAATCTGACATTTTAAAAGAATATTTATCATTTGGTAAGTTTGAAGTTGAATACGTTAAACAATAGAAGGAAGTATAGTGAATGCTTACACCGGGAATTTCTTCTTGCTGCTTATCAGAGAAAACTGCACGGACAATGGCATCTATCGAAGTTCCCTGAAAGAAACAAAAATGTGACATAAGCTTTTTGTTAACTTTAGAAAATATTAGAGGTTAATGTTAGACATTGGTATAGCTCACTAACTTCATGTTTGGTAGTAGAATCAAATTGATCAATCAAAGGTTGTTCGCTTGATGAAGTATTATTAGAAGGGCTACTACTAGTGACCGCATCTACAGTTTCTTCTGAGTCTTTCCGTTTGTATTGTTTTGCCATTCCGAACGTGGTTGGCTTCGAGTTCACAATGTATCTCCATGAACCGCTCCCACCGCTCTGTTTCCACTCGCGATATGACTTAAGAGCCAAAACACACTCCACAATTCTAGAGGATTTACCTCCCTGTGAGCACAAAGAAGAATGTGTGTTAGAATTGTCTAAGTACCCCCTCCTGCAAGGTAGGTCAATCTGGCTTGAACCTAATCTATAGCATCAAGCCTAGTTTTGTTACCACAATCCTCGGTTATATGATTCATTTATCGATTCGTCGTAGGATTTGTTCCATTACCTTCTCAAAATCAGAGACTTCGAACATGGGAATACCCATTTCCTCAACAACCACAAGAAAGTTTCGAAGGTTCTCAAAGTACTGGAACGCAGATAAAGCTGCACCATCTTGATTAACAAGAGGATCATTTGGAGCTTCAACGACCTGTAGTAACAGAATCAAGACAGATTTGCATTAAAATATTAGTTATAGAAAAATATTACACAAAATGGCACTAATCATGCTTTGTACAACTTTTATCTAAGCAGGCCTAAAGGTTTCAAAAGGTCTTTATAGCCTAAGTAGAACCTATATATCTAATTCATAACAATATTATGTAATAAAGTATAATCTTGAATATGAAAATTATAGATGTGAAAACATACTTTTGCAACAGCACCAGGTTTAACTCTGTTGAGGACATTACAGAGCAAAATTCCACTCCTTAATGCAATTCTGAAATCATCCTCTGAAGGATCTGCAGGCAAATCTCTTCCTCCAACAACACCAAGTGTGTTTCTTACCCATCTTGCTGCTTCATACCTTTTCAAGTCTGAAGGATCTGTTGGCAAATCATTTCCTCCAGCTACACCAATTGTAATTGAATTTGTACTAATTAAGTGATTATAAAATGTAGAAGATCTAGACAATAAGGGTTTTCTGAGAGATTGACTAATATGGTTAATAAGAATTTTTCATTATGAAATTGATTTGTTTCATGATGATCTTGTAAAACAAGAAACGTCCTTGTTCCAAATCTAAAATGAACCAAAACAGAGAAAGAGAAAAAAAAAACAGAGAGATTGAAGAGACGTACAAGTTTCATCGGCTTTCTTCGAACTCGAATCCACGTCAAAGCTAACTCGAATGTTTCGTTGTTTAGCAAAATCTTCCAATATCGATGCCAAACAGAGTCTTGAATCTTGTTCCTCCGTTGTCGCCATTGTAAAAAGACAAGAAACGATCAATGCTTTTGTACCTTGATCAACAAGAAACCTAGGAAAATTGATCCAAATCTTGACTCGAGAATCTCACAACCAAAAACTTCGAAATCTAAGTTTGAAACAGATTTTTTTCCAAAATCAAACAAATGAAATCAAAGCTTTTTGTAGATACAAGGATTTTCACTTATATGTGGAACATTGCTTAGATTTATAAGGAAGAGAAAGAAATTGAGAAAAACAAATAATAAAAATGTTTGACCCTCTCTCTTTTTTGTTGTTCGTGCTATGATGAAAATAAAACAACAGAAGAAGAGCGAGGCATGAACCAGAGAGGCCCGAGTCTCCTGGGTTTCTTCTTCTATAGATGGACAATTTCAGTACTAAAAATCATTTTAAAAGAAAAACAAATTATTGTTAATTACTCCGTTATTTTAATATGTACGAATTTTTAGGTGGTGAAAGATGTATAGCTAAAAAAATTATCTATCAGCTACTTTGCATAGCCATCTTTTCTTGCGTATAGAAGTGTTTTAAAAGCCAATATATATAACATGATATCATGATTACTGATTTGGTAGTTTTATATAGAACCAAATAAAGGTCAGTATGAAAAAATATTTTAAATTTCTTTTAAAGAAAAAAAAAGATCTAAAGTCAACAAGAAATAAAACATTTAGAATTACAAACGAAAAAAAAGTTTTGCTGATGATGATTGTAACCACATCTTTTGAAAATGACCCTTTTAATTATCCAATTCAATGAAAATTATATATGTAAAGACTCTCTCTTTTAATTGTCAATAATGTTCCATTTTCTCTTTGTATATTTTTATTGAACATGATACCAACTCATTCAGAAAGGTAGAGAGTATATAATTTTCTGTGTTGCTGTGAGAGTATATAAATAATTTTATAACAGAAGGAAGATATTGGCAAAACATACACGTATTACCACGAAGTTATATGTTGCTATCGTGTAATTAGTTTCTGGAAATTTCGGTGATGAATGAATGTTTTCACATTTAAAATATATTTTCTTGCGAACTTTTTATATATCATCACCTTAGTTTCAGGATTAGTTTAATGCCAACTTGTAAGTTTTTTTTGTAAATACTTGTAAGAATGTATGTGCTACGTATAGTGTCCATAAAATTAAAGGAGTAAACATATAGAGATTATTTGTATGTTTGAAAACAGTTGAACTTAATTATATAGAGATAAGAGAATATATTTATGATCACAAATACATTGCATAAAGACTGAGCCAATGATACA